TAGCAATCCCCACACCTGGCCTCCAGGTCTGCCTTCCTTGTCCTCCCCCAAACCTAAAATACTCAGCATCAGCTTCAAGCAGCCGTTTGCCAACAAATTAGAGTTTTTTTTTAGATTTTTTTCCAGAAATCTATATCCATAAGAATAGGAAAAACAAGCTGTGGCTGTTGGGTCGGCTGACTAACCGACGCGTCTCCCCCCCCACCGCCGACCTGGGCGGCCCCTGCGCCCATGCCCCCCTCCCCCACAGGCCAGCAGGGCCATGCCAGCGGAGTGATTTACCTCAATCGGGCCGCGGAGGTGAAGTCAGTAATAGAGAGCATTAGGCAGAGCCGCCGTTGCCGCTAATGGGACGTTACAGTGATTTAGGGTGATTTAATGGCTCCCAGGCCGGGTCTGACGGAGCGCCTTACATCTGCGCCGCGCTGCTCCGGAGGAGCCCGTCCTCCGTGTCACACGGAGGGGCCTCGGAAAACTCCGGTAACTGCGACTTCCCTCCTCAGCACCGTGGCGCTTACTTCCTGTTGGGAATTACTCCCCGTGCACGGCGGTGGGCACGCCTGCCTCACAGGGAGATGCTCATTAATGACACGCTCTCTGTCTCCCTCTGTTTTTTTTCCTCTTTTTTTTGGAGAAACAGCAGGATGAAAGAAAACAAATCCGTCCTGCGTTTGGCGCCTGTCTGGGCCTCCAGCGGAGGTGTGTAGCAGGAACGCGGTGGTTTGACGCCGATGCCGCCGTGAGCGGTGACTTGGCGATGCTTTGCAGCGTGTTACACGCCCTTCCTCGCATAAACACTCCCCCGAGGGGGGGGGGTCGGGGTGGGCTCACCTGTTAGCTCCGTCAGCCATGACGTCCGCTTGGCTTCCTGCTTTGAAAATCGCAGGATGCTCACTTTATCTCCGAGCTGGGGGGGGGGGGCCCGAAAATGAGTCGTTTCATTGTCATCCTCGGCATTAGTCCGACGATCCGCTTCAGCGCGCAGCGACTTCAAAGGTGCATGGAGCTGGCAGCCGCGAGAGCGCCACCCCCCCCCCCAAACTGCCGCCACCACATAAATCCAAGGAAATCACAGAAGATCAGAAAAGACACATAAGGGGCCATTTAAACGCAGTCAACCGTCCCAAAAAACGACAAATGTCATTTTTGTGGCTAAAAATATTATGTAGCACAGAGAACATCAGAAAAGACACAGAAAACAGGGCACAGGAGAAGCATAACCACACTCCACACACACACACACACACACACACACACACACTGCACGCTGCGTGTGTGACAGTAATATATAATCGGCCTACAGTAAGGGCAGAAAATATGATTATTATATTAGAAAATTGATTATTATTATAAGAAACATCATGTGTGGCAAAAGCAAGCCAAGTCCTCCTATCAGGGGTTAACTAGCAGTGCTCCTGTGATCAGAAGGTCGCTGGTTCATATCCCAGCGTCGGCAGAGTGATTTCACCGTCGGGCGCTTGAGCAAGGCTTTTAATCCCAGTGGCTCCAGGCATTGGTGACTCTTGGCTTTTCATGTAGGGGGGTGCAAGGTGAGAGTGTCCAACCCATTCATCCAGATAAAATTGTAAAAAAGATTAGTAAATACATTTACAATAAATTATTATTACACAGTGATGTGAGAAACGCAAGCCACATTTTCAAACATAGCTTTACAAAATAATCTCATTCTATTGAAATATGTTGAAATTGCATTTTCATTTGACGGGTAGGGGGTACAGATTCACCCCTGGTAAAAGTGCCTCTGCCTCCAGGAACTAGCTAACCCTGCTGTCTCAAAAAATGTACGCCGACTGCTAAATAAATACTTAAATAAATGAGCCAGGTTCCCAGTGCTAGTTAACAAGGTGTTTTTTCATCAATGTTGCGCTTGTTTTTTTTTCTGAGGGGGGCCGATGCAGATTTGGCTGAGCCGGATAGCGGGCCAGCATGTCTGGGGACAGAGCTGCGGGCTCGGTCGCTGAGTGGCCCCCCTCTCCGGCACTGCCGTCCCCGAGCCGTAAGTCAGCCCTATCTAGAGGCATTTCCAGGCAGAGCCTGGCAGATTGACAGGCCCTGCAGTCATTACACGCTGGATTGAATGCTAGATTACTCCAAAGTGGCTCAGGGTCAAGAGACACACTGTTCCCTTTTGGCACTCTGTGACTTTAATACCCTTACTGTATTAGCCAATTACATTAAGGCCGCCACCCCCCTCCACGCTGGCCCCGCCCCCTCCAGAGACATACAGACACACCGGGGTCAGTTCGTTGGCTGTTTGAATCGCTGCCATCCTGAACCCAAGTGCTCCAAAACCGGCTGTCAAATCGCTCTCCGGCCTTCGATGCCGCTTTCCTGGAGATGCCCGCTTGCCACCCTCCATCCCCACACCGGGCATCTCCGCTGCTTTGCCCTTTTTAGTCACATTCTAATTATTACCCTTTGCCTAAATTGGGGGCATTAAATGCATTTTTTTCCCCTCCTTTTTCAAAGGCGGGTATGACCTTTAGGCAGAGAAATATCAATTACACCATCCAAGAAATTGAATTATTAACAGTTTCGGCAGTCGGAATCGTACGGAAAGCCGCTGTAAAATGCACCAATTATTCTGCTGAATTGCTGTATTTTTTTTTCTTTGCAGCTTTTGGAGGTGAATGTTCAAAAAAAAAAAAAAAACTTAATTGTTGTGGTGAAACTGAATGCGAATTAGAGTGAGAGATTGGAACTGGCCGATTCCACGGCCGCGGAGAGTGGGGTGGGGGGGAGGGACAGGCCATGGGGGCCGCCCTGATTTCCTTGGCCTCTGCACCTCCACCATCGCTGACGGGTCAGGAATTGTAGAGAGTCTTGCACGTTACCACAGTGCATGGGCGTGTAAATTTTAATCATGTTATATAGCCTTTGTGGGTGTTTACACACAGTCATAGTGAAGGTGCAAAGCTGAATGGAGAATAAAATCTCTGTTTTAACACTCCTGCAAACTTCTACCTAAAGGTAAGACAGGTTTTGTTATATTAGCAGAAATAAAGATTTAATTGATCCCAGAGCCGGCTGCATCCTCATGCTTTCTTGTGGGTGTGCATTGATATATTTATCTGTCTGCAATGTTTTTCCCGTCTTCATATGTTTAGTTAGTAGATGGTTTTATTATTAACTTAATGCTTTTTATCCAAAGTGACTTACAGTAGAGAGAGAATTTATGTGTGCTCTCTGGGATTTGAACACACAACCTTTGTGTTGTTAGCACAGTGTTCTAATGGTTAAGCTACAGGAACACTCTCGCCAAAGCAACATATATTTTTGAGCAAGTAGGGTCAGCTAGTCCCTGAAGCCTGCATGAAAGGGCCTTGCTGAATGGCCCGATGGTGTAATCACTGTGGCACCTTTGGGATTTGAACCAATGACTTACTGAGCATAGGCACAGCACCTTATCCCATTGAGTCTCACATCACCCCTACGTAAAGCCACAGGAAGAACGTATATCCATATAACCGTGTGTGTGTTGGTTCACAGCCCGAACCCCTGAATCGTTGGTGATTGTGTCGCCGCGTACGTCCGCGGGCCCCTCCGCCACTTCCCCCCCCGCCACGGCTGTCGTGCGCCCCGCTGCCCCCGTCCCGGCTCGTCAGGCTCCGCTTTACTTGCCACGTGCCGCGATTTAGCAAACCTTTAGTGGTGGGAGCGCTAATTAGGTGTGGTTTGACTGGAATATACGACTCGGGCTTCCTCTCAAGGTCACCGCAGCCCCTTTAAAGCCCGGCAATAAATTTGAAGTTTCATGAAGAGAACAAAGGGTGCAGCGAATATGAAGATTAAAGTCCCTGGGCTCTTCGTCTCCGCGCGGCGCGAGCTCCTCAGGGTTACTGCCTGTCAGCTCTCCTCACGGATCGGAATTAACCTTTTCCTTCAGCACCTTCACAAACACGCGTCGTCTTCGGCTGGCGCGCGGTGTGGCTCCTAACTGGCCCCGTGCGTCTTCCTGAGGACACGGCGAGAGGCGCCTGTGCATGTGTGTTTTTAACTCTGTAATAAATTAAAATAATTAAGGAGTGCTTATTACCGTGGCAAGGCAGGGCATGCATCTATGTGTGTGTGTGTGTGTGTGTGTGTGTGGATTAGGGTTCTATTATATTGGGGGGGGGCCAAATGTCCC